ACCAGAATATGGCCCCTGAAGTGAAAACTGATCTACCAGGCGAACAGAACATCTTCACTCTCGGCTTCTATAATTTATACACTCTTTAAGTGCCTTTTAATAATAGAACGCGAAATTAATATTAATTAATTATTAATTTAATTATGTTCGTTAATTTATATTCAGACAGGTATATATGTTTTATCTAAACGTCATCGATTACATAAAACGTATTATTATAACATGTATAACTAGATTAAAATTTTTAATTGCCTGTAATACGTAATATATATATATTTTTATAACTTGTCAATTAAAAAACTTAATTATCATAAATAAACATCAGAATGGTTTTACATTAAGATATTAAGATATTTACTCACTTGAACAATTAATTAAATTAATGTAATAGATTTCCAAGTACAGTAAATACTTTACTGGTATCGGTCGGCCATATTAACTGTGAGAAGGAACACGAAGGCGAAGCGTATTGTTATTCAACCAATGATTGAAAACATAGTTGATTAAAATACAAAATCGTTTAATGTCTATATCTTCTTGTATGTTTCATTCCTGTAATTACTATCACTGACGATTGAATAATTTTGAAACATCTTTTCTTAAGAATTTAAAGTTTTAGAGAAAACTATTCTCTTGCGGTAGATATGTTCACGGTTAAAATCAATCGATTGTAATTTCAATTCACAGTGAATCTTATGAAGCTTAAAGACTCACCTGAGATATTTTTGAAACAGCAAAATATCAATAATAATAATTTTCATAAATAGTTTTATAGACACAGTTTCCCACAAAATACATATCAATGTTTTGATGAAAACTATTACGTTGTCTAAAAAATCCTTGAATTCGGAGAAAACGATTTTTACGTCGTGAGGTTCACTATTGGCCGGTGACAGCGATAACACAACTGAACACTGCTAGTTGGCTACGGTCACGTGCCTGGCCAATAGTCTGTTCGTGTGAAGTTTACCAGCTTTACATGGCTAACATTAGTTTCAGTTTCAATAATGAGTTTCATTATTGTTAAACGTAAATAACAGTTTGCCATGTTAAATTTATTATTATTTATACTTAAAACGTATTATTGTGATTGCGACAAGAACACTAGATGTCGCATTAATCATATTTTAAATTTTTACTACGGAGGCAGTAGCCTACAAAGAAAGGTCGTCTTCGTGAGTTTTGTGATATTTAAGAACTGCTGATGGTACGAACAACGAAAGGAAATTACCGAAGCAAAGGTTTTTATCTTTGTTAAAAGTTGCACTCATATTTATTATATTATTATTAGACAAAATAATCGTTTTATTGTACTCAGAGGAATCGCTCGAAATATTATACAAAAATATCTGAATCAGTGGTTTATTTTTAAGCAAGAATGTTATAAAATCTTTTGAAAACTACCACATAAATGTTCTTTCAAGATGACAAAATAACACTGCTACATAATTTTAAAAAAATTTGAGTCGTTGCAAAAACCGATGTACAGTATTAACTTTTTTATTACGCTATAATAGGAAAAATGTCAGGTGGCAACTCTAAAGCACTGAATTTACATTGTGAAAATAAAATGCAATGGCCCATTTAAAATAATATGAAATTTTCCAGTTATTCAATAAGAGCAGAGATTATAAGTAGTAGTATTATTGTAAAAAAGTATATTTCATATTCATATTTCAAGAAACTGCGCTAATTACGCGCGATGTACTGTACATGTAATAACACGTGTGCGTTTTGTCGAATATTCGTGAAATCTAGCAGGGGGGCATATGGAATTAAATTTTCCAATAAAAGTCGAGGGAGAGAGTAAATAAAAAATGGTCGAATGTCATATCTCAAGTAAAGTCGAACTAAACGACGATTTTAATCGTTATTAGCATGTAGAAATTTTTACACAAGTCATTCCTACCCTCAAAATTAATCCTTTAACCTTTAACGACTAAAAATATAAGAAGTTTTTAATAATAAATTATTATAACGGATGGCAGCATACAGTTTTAAATCTTGCCGGAAAGTTAAGCCAACGGTTGAACGATTTCTGTTTTATCCAGGCAAACACTGTAGGTATGCCTCGCTAAAGGAAAAAGGGTAGAAAACGTATTCCCCGGTAAACGAGTAGGGCAACACTGATTTTACGAAAGTTTAGAGAACAGAACAATTTATTTGAGAAATAACGAACGAGCAAAGTCTGATCGTGAAGCAATTCTTGCTTCACGATCAGATCAGAAACCTATAATGAAATTAAAGGAAAAAATTACCAATTTAGAAGGTTTCAAAGTATCTGTTTTGTTGATTTGTGGAATACACTTCAACAAATGAAAATTTTTATTAGTGACATTTAAAGATATAAATTCTTTAAACTCATTGTCACTATTTATAATAAAATCTGTCTGAATAGTCTGTTTAAAAGTATGGAAAAACAAGAATGGAATCTATAATTGACCAGTTACCAAAATAATGAACACAAATTTGACAGAAGACAAACTAAACAGTAAAATTACAATTTGACAAAAAAAAACAAGATAATGAAATATTTTAAGATTGAAAAAAATAATTAATTACTGATTATTGCATATATTGTATTATATTAAAAACAGAAATCAGAAGTTTATCATGAGAAAGTTTATTTAAAAAATGTATTAAATAAAAACAAAAAAGTCTTATAACATTCAACTTCGATTGCTAGCAAAATCGCGATGTTTGATCTGTTTTAATGAAAATGATTTAAACACAGACAGAAGTAAATATAAAGAATCTTCTGTTCTATTTTAGTTTCTTGTTTTTTTCTAATGTGTTATTATTGTAATTAAAATTTCGAGCAGAAGTGTGAAAAAGAAAATGCTGTAACTAGCGCACAACAAGTATAAATGATTTGAAATGTCTTCGAATTTAATACAATTGTTTAATTCATCTCCATCTTTGTCCGAATTTAACTCAGGACTATTTTCTCTTCTTTTGATATTTCCAGTAAGTTTATCGGCCAAGCCACTCTACTGAATAATATTCACCCTAAAACAAACAACAGTTTATATAATAGAAATTAAATAATAAATGTTAAATCGACTTACATTCTGATAACTTCCACGGTGTGACAAAAATATTTTATGTTGATCTGGATAAAGAGAAACTTAGTAAACAGGATATCAAATGACAGATAAAGTTTTATTTACTTCTCTCATTCCATCTCGAACACAGATAATTTCCATTTTGAACCAATTAATAATTTGACTTTACTATCGTCGGTTAGATGCTAACATACCAGCGGTTTCACGTAAAAACCCTCCGATTTTGAAAAATCATATAAATATACAAAAATTACTTTAAATTACAAATGAAATAAGTATAACACACTTTGTTTACTAACAAAATTCCTTTAAAGCTCTCAAAATATATCAGATCAATTACTTAAATTTAATTCTTATGAAAAAATATCTTAACTCATTTGTAAACATTTAGATCCGGTTTATATATTAATCATCGGGTTATTTATAATAATATTAAGATTATATTTATCGCAATAAATATTTAGAAATTTCGCTGACCTTAATCAAAAAATAAAAAAAAATTCAATATTATGTCAATATTTCGAAATCTTCTCCACAAGCAAATTAAGTCTTCGACCGTAAAATTTATAACCGAATTTATTACATAACATGTAAAATATTCTTGAATTAATTTTATTCTTACTTAAATTAATTTTTATTTACGAATTTTTACAAAATAACTTGGTTGTAACTTTCAGTGATATGTAATTTAAAGGTGTATTTTAAAAAACACGACCTTTGTGTATACGTTTTATATTGTTGTAACTCGTAAACTTTTATTTTAGTTGGCTGAGGAGGGGTACAAAATATCCGAAACGTGTACAAATATGATGAACACGTATCAACTAAATAAAATTAAATGATAAAATTTGAATGAATACAATAAACCATTTTTGTTCGAATTACTATAAATAAATAATATAGCAACGGATTGCTTAAGTTTACCGGACAAGATTCGTAAACAAAAAGTTTGGACACGATGACGTGATGCATCGGGGCAGTCGCCTTATTGATTACGTCGAAGTTGTGTGTACTATGATTCTAGGGCAGATTTGGTTATTTGTTTTCCTCGTTTTAGTCGAATTTCTTATTATCACTTATCTTTAATTGTTTGGTATTCAGCAGCGAATTGTAAAAATTCGTCACCCAAAGATGTAAGATCGTTCCGTTTTCCAGCTGACAAATCAGAGAGAACGATGATTTAAGAGTTTAATGCGAGACCATCGCAAGGATTACCACTGTACTCCAGCATTTATAATTGTTTTTGCTACACAGCACCTGTTTGAGATTGAGCGGCAAGACTTTCAGTACCTTTCAAACAACAATTACTTTCATAATTAATGGTATCATTACATTTTTTCACTGATCGACTGCTGTCTTCTTTCTTTTAGAATCTGTTGCTCGACCGTGCCACTATTTGTGTAATTTCTAACGTAAAACTTGGGCGTTTAAATTCGACTGATTTTTTTCGAATTTCCGCTGGAGAAAAAAAAATGTTCACTAAAAAATCTGCGTGTGTCTGTCAATCGTTTATGCAAAAAGCATTCAGTGTAGAAATTACCTGTATTAATATCCACTGCAGAAAGTGCAAACTAAAAACCGAGACTGAAGACATTCTTTAAACGGAATACTTGCGATAAAAAGATTTCTTAATAAAGAAAGTATTGAAATAATAGATTACCGCATTTTCAAAGAAATGTACGCGAGCTTCTCAATATTGTTTTTCACCAATGCTGGTTTGGACGTGGTGCAACTGCAGACAAAAACCTGCTGTCCTGTCCAACCCGTTCGCCAGAATTAACACCCTGCGATTTATTTTTGTGGGAGTTTGTTAAAGACCGAGTTTATGTACCGTCAATACCCTCGTTTTTTGAAGAACTGTTTGATTGGATAATTTATGCACTACTTGCAGACCATCACGGAGGACGTCCTACACCGCGTATGGGAAGAATTTGATTACCCTGTAGATATGTGTCGTGTGATCATGGGTGCACATATTAAAGGATTTTGATTAATGCATAAAGAACTTGGACATTTGCCGCTGCTTATGCTGTAAGGTTTGCCCACATAAGGTAATATATATATTTATTATTAATTTTTAAAACCGCGCCATTCATTTATTCATTTATAAACACCCTGTATAACCTTCAGCTTTTCTCATATCTCTATCTGTATCACCGATGTTTCTAAATATTTATTTTGATAAATATAATCTAATTATTATTCAGTATAACCCGAAGATTAATATATAATCTTAATATTTACAAAATATTCAAAGTATTTATTTTATTAAAACGATATTAAAAAATTGATTTTCTTCATATATTTGAAAGTTTATAAACGAATTTTATTAATTAAAAACAGTGTTTTATATTAATTTGATTTGCTATGATTTTTATATTTTTAGTTTTTAAAAAATAAGAAATAGCTTTTTTTGAAGATAGTGTAAACAAATTCTAAGTAGCATTGGCTTCACTTTATCTTGGCCTTTTGCCACCCCCAAAAAAATGTTCCTCAAAGTAAAGCACTGTTCTTAATCAAAGTTAACAGCATAGCTAACTTTCTCCATTCCAGCGTGAAACACTTTCTGTATGTGGATGACTTTGAGATTTCCTGCGAGTCTAGTAACCAGAATTTTTTATCGAGAGACAACTGCAAACCCCCTTAAATAGCATAGACGATTGGTCCAAGACCAATCGTCTTAATTTAACAGTTTTAGTTTTAACAGGAAGAAGACCTCGTGCATTCATTTCTGCCGAATACGTGGTTTGCACCTGAAATTTACCTAAATGTAGTTAAAATCCCAATGGTCAATGAGATAAGTTTTAAACTGTTCTGCTTGAAAAAAAACAGACGTTCTTGCCAAACTTGAGCAATTTGAAAAGTAGATGTCTAAAATCTCTGAACCTTCTAAAGGTTTTATGCCGATCATCCTGGAAAGAAGACAAATCTTCTATACTGAGGATTTATAGGCTTATCCTCTCTAAGTTGGATGATGCATAGTGTATGGCTCGGCGCGAGAATCTACTCTCAGGGTGCTGGATCCAATCCACCACCAAGCATTGCGTTTGTGCACTGATGCTTTTCAAACTTCTGTTCAAAGCCTGTATGTAAATGCTTTCGAGCCTCCACTATCCATCAGGAAAGAACAGTTGTCTCTCTTTTATTACATTAAACTAAAATCTCAGATCTAATCTTCAGTTTATTCTACAGTATGGTATAGCTGTAAAAACAAAATGGGTTTATTTACGTGTGGCATCATGCATAAAACAAACCTCCTCTGTGGAAACCTCCAGTTATATCAGAAATAGAAAACCGACTAATGTCGTACATAGGTCGAGGTGAACACGTTATAAATGGCCACATTCAGATATTTATAACTAACACCATAACAAATGAATAAATGTATTATTTATGGTTTTTATTCGTGTACTGCAGGAAATTGTGGAAAATGCATCAGATCGAGCTCATCTGGATTGTATTCACAAATTTGGCACGTCGCACAGTGAGTCGTGAGACGATTCTAGCAGGACTTAATTATATAGGCTGGTGCAATTCATTTTTATAATAAAATTTTTTTACTTAAATATCGTATCAACTAAAAATTTACATATCAAAGTCACATTCGGAGTTTGACTCGGATTTCTCTTGTACTAAGGTGACGCTCGGTAATTTAATAATTTTAAAACGTTAGCGGTTATCGGAGTTGTTTCTTTATACCATGTGATCTAAGGCTTGTAATAAGAGGATTTGAAGAAATTAAAAGATTATGTTAAATATTAGTATTTATTCTAGAAGTCACAGTGAAGAAAATAACCAATAAATATGGGCTGGCCTGTAAAAACCGTAAAAAAGATATTAAACTCGTGCACGTTTAAGCCGAAACAAACAAGTGGACATGAAGTCAGACTGAAACAAGTGCCAAGTGACGTAAACCACTCGCAAATGGTTGCGGTTCTTCCATAATCTTAAATCAGCACAAAGTACTTGAAATTGTCGCTCGCGGCAAATGTTGATCCGTTTACCACGGCAAACGAGCTGTTGGCCGTGGTAAACGGACTTATGGCAACGGCTGCTAGACTGTTTAACTTTATAAGTGATAAAATTCTTTAAAAGTTTATATCGCTTTAGATCAAAAACTGTTAACACTATATTATTAAAATCTTGGGACAGCTATGCCGAATAACTCTTCTAAATGATAAATATTAAATAGGCCCGATGCGGCCTTCCACTGCCCGCGTAAGGTTAGCCTAAAAATCACAAAATATTGGTCTCAGGACTCAAAAAGAATTCACACAGTGCTCACTGTCTGTTCTAGCAAAAGATGCCCCTTTCACTTCCGGTGGAGCGGCTACCGAATTCCGGATGACTGGTCCCCTATAATCCGTGAGTTAAAACGTTCACAGCTCTCGAAGTATTTGAGCCACACTCAAAACGATGACATCACTTTCATCCTTACATTTTGACAAATCCAACGATATATAATTTATCTACTATGACACAAGAAAACACACGAAAATCCAGAGCGCCCGCACACTGCAGAAAACCATAATTCGGGCAATTAATGATAATCGACAATTGATGTTGTAAGAATTACACAGAATATAGTTTCAGCGCTTTTGAAGGAGGATACCGCAGTGAAATGTGTACCAACCAAATTTGGTACACAACTTCTATTACGAGATCAGACCGAGCCTGACATTCTTCGGTTCTGTTACAGTTTTAAGGAAAACTTTACATCAGACCTTACAAAAATAATATGTAATTTGGAATTTTCTTAATGAATCTTCTTATCAGTTTGTCTTTTATTCATTTATGTATAAATTATTGTTCAGCGGTAAGTTTATCCGAATGAAAGGGCTGTTTGTCAGCTTCTAACAACTGCAATCTTTTTCTCCTTACTAATGGAAGCGTGCTGGCGGCTCGAATTTCTCCGTTTTCACTTACTTCCGATTCAAGTACAAAAATATCATGAAACTTAATAAAGAGTGATAGTATTTTGCTATTCTGTATTGGTTATGTGTATTTTTAGTCGTTTTTACGATTTATACACGCAAAGCTTCAAAACTTGTAAATTTGTCTTAAATCGAATAAAGATAGAGATTTATTCGTTATACGGACCAATTTTCTTTACCGTTTCCGCATTAGATGTTCCGCTATAAACAGGTTCCGTTATATCGTTTTTTATAATTATTAGTAGTTTCAGAGATATGCACAATTAAGCATGCTCAATGCTACCAAAACGAAACAATCAATTTATTACATTATTTCGGTTCGTTGTTGTCTTCTCCTTGTTGCAGTCTTCAAATTTGGACTTTCGATCAAAACTCTGCATTCCGTAATTAGATTAAAAAAGTATAATCATAATGGTAAGTGAAATATTTTACTTTACCTGTATAACACATTTTTAAATTCTTAAACTGCTTTATTAAAAATTCAGAATATAACATAAACTTTGACGAACTACAAAAAGAAGGTGAAGAAACCATTTTTGCAATGTCAAGCGACGTATCAGACGATTTTGAAGACATCAGCATTGGAATTGATGTGGAACAATGGACAACTTTCGATCTATTCCTTGAAGAACGAATCGATCGACACGAATGGGAATGTGTCTTGTGTGAAGAGAAGTTTGATAACGAACTTGCCCTGCAATATCACATGAGAAACGATCATTTCGATGTTAAAAAACGTCGAAATACATTTTAGTTTACGATCGTTATTCTGGAATTCTCTCAATTTAAATTACACGCGATATTCAAAATTGAAATATTTTAAATCAAATATAAATTAATATAAATACAACTATTTTTAAAATATTAAGACTTCTTTTTTTACTAAAATTACCAAATAAAAGAAATTCGGAATTATATGGAGTTTATATATTATTTTTCTATAAAATATTCCGAAATACGACAATCCCATTGCTACTTAAGTACAGTCTTCACCATTAATAATGAAAATATTCGTGGATTCTGAATATATTATTTGCCTAACGAAATACCTATATGGAGCAAAAAGAAAAGAAATGCAATTGTTTGGCTGGAGGAAGGAGGTAATAATACTCACACCACTAAAACGCGTGGGTTAGCGTTTATTTTATTTTATTTATTTTTTTTTTTTTTGCAAAATTAGCAGCGCGGTCACGTCGATGAAGCGGTATGGCATGTATAGAAGATATAAATGGTGAATTATTATGGAATGGTCAAACTGCAAGTAAAGGACGGAAGATATTGGTGAGAAAGAAACTGAGAAGATTTGAACTGCAGTTAAGTCCCAAATTTTGATTCATCAATTACTTTTTGAAAGGTCTACAAATTTACTAACATTATTTAAAAAAAAAAAAACCATTTTCGTCAATGTATTTTCTATGTTTTGCTTACGAGAAATTCTTGGAAATGTGTCATTTTTATTTTCTGAATCTATTGTGCAGTTTTCGAACTTGCATGCATCATGGTGCTTGTATATGCAAATATTTATGTAAAAATGCATTATGTAATATAATAAATGTTTTGCGTTCCTTAATGCTGTGTTTGTATTCCTTCTTAAACGTTTAAACGTTAACAGTAATATTAAAAATACACACTTCCTTTTCTACAAAATCTCTTTTAAAAGATTTACTAGAAAATATAATTTTCTAGAAAAAATTTAAGGTGCTACAACCACAGTAAATTATAAAATTAAAAGGATTAGTTATATAAAACACATATGTTTTTAACAAGTTAATCTCGAAAAATAAATCGTCGTTGTCCAATCTTAACACGTGAATTTCGTTATAGAATGTTACGGTTTTACGGAAGCGTAAGTAAGCAAAGCTGGTCCGCGGGCTGTCCACGAGGGTTGTCCCTAAGAAGTAATCACGTGTTAGCAATAAAGAATAATTCTGAACTCGTTTGTACATTCTGGCGGGAAGCGCGCTGTCGGACGCAACAACGGTTGTTTGTAATAGTAGTTTACCGTAGAAGTCAACGTGGCGTGCTCCATGGTTCAGATAGTTCTGATTTTGTGTCCATTATGTAGTTTTATGAATGAGGAATGGTCAAACTGCAAGTAAAGGACGGAAGATATTGGTGAGAAAGAAACTGAGAAGATTTGAACTGCAGTTAAGTCCCAAATTTTGATTCATCAATTACTTTTTGAAAGGTCTACAAATTTACTAACATTATTTAAAAAAAAAAAAACCATTTTCGTCAATGTATTTTCTATGTTTTGCTTACGAGAAATTCTTGGAAATGTGTCATTTTTATTTTCTGAATCTATTGTGCAGTTTTCGAACTTGCATGCATCATGGTGCTTGTATATGCAAATATTTATGTAAAAATGCATTATGTAATATAATAAATGTTTTGCGTTCCTTAATGCTGTGTTTGTATTCCTTCTTAAACGTTTAAACGTTAACAGTAATATTAAAAATACACACTTCCTTTTCTACAAAATCTCTTTTAAAAGATTTACTAGAAAATATAATTTTCTAGAAAAAATTTAAGGTGCTACAACCACAGTAAATTATAAAATTAAAAGGATTAGTTATATAAAACACATATGTTTTTAACAAGTTAATCTCGAAAAATAAATCGTCGTTGTCCAATCTTAACACGTGAATTTCGTTATAGAATGTTACGGTTTTACGGAAGCGTAAGTAAGCAAAGCTGGTCCGCGGGCTGTCCACGAGGGTTGTCCCTAAGAAGTAATCACGTGTTAGCAATAAAGAATAATTCTGAACTCGTTTGTACATTCTGGCGGGAAGCGCGCTGTCGGACGCAACAACGAGTGTTTGTAATAGTAGTTTACCGTAGAAGTCAAAGTGGCGTGCTCCATGGCTCAGATAGTTCCGTTTTTGTAGTTTTATGAATGAAAATTTACAAGTTGTGAAAACACACGTCAATATATATACCCACACGGGGATGTAAGTGTCGTCTCGAATTTTTTTCGCAACTACTTTGAATGATATTGGAATCCATTTTTTTAATTTTCTCTCTAAAAGCGCATATTTTAAAATTATAGATCCCGCCATCACTACACTTGATATTACGGGTGTCTCTTTTATTCACCGTCGTTCGCAAATGTCTAAAAGCAGCAGCCCAGCGGAGCGACCGATATTAATGTACGCACCGTAGGGTGTCTTTGCTCTATCACGTGATGCTTGCGAGGTATAGTGCAAACAGAACGAATTATTCCGCCACGAGAAAAAGTTGTCCGGAAACGCGTCAGAGCTGGAGTCACGTGAGCGACTGACTTCGAAACCAGGTCACGTGACACGCTGTGTGCGCGTCCGCTCTGCAATGTGTAGTTCCACGACGAAAACAAGCTTCAGTGATGGCGGTGCACTGTCGGTAAGTAGTCCTAAGATTTTTTTTTATAGCGTTTTTTAAATTAGTTTGCCATCATATATTCGATGTGTTTTGGACATGTCTAGCACATATGTCTCTATTGCAAATATAAATAAAAGGAAAAACATTGGTGTATCTATTATAAAGTATTACCCTCGCTAATAATGTATTTTAATTAATAATTAAACACACATTTTTGTTTAGCAGACTTTTTTTCCACCTGTGATCGAATATCCATAATAAAGTAATAATAAGGCATTGGCATTCGTAATTGAAAGTTTCACAAAATTTAGGACTTAGAAAACAATAGATTCATTGTTGATTTAATAACTAAAAACGCAAAATTTAGCATTATTAGATTTTACTGTATCGAATATTANCGTCCGCTCTGCAATGTGTAGTTCCACGACGAAACCAAGCTTCAGTGATGGCGGTGCACTGTCGGTAAGTAGTCCTAAGATTTTTTTTTATAGCGTTTTTTAAATTAGTTTGCCATCATATATTCGATGTGTTTTGGACATGTCTAGCACATATGTCTCTATTGCAAATATAAATAAAAGGAAAAACATTGGTGTATCTATTATAAAGTATTACCCTCGCTAATAATGTATTTTAATTAATAATTAAACACACATTTTTGTTTAGCAGACTTTTTTTCCACCTGTGATCGAATATCCATAATAAAGTAATAATAAGGCATTGGCATTCGTAATTGAAAGTTTCACAAAATTTAGGACTTAGAAAACAATAGATTCATTGTTGATTTAATAACTAAAAACGCAAAATTTAGCATTATTAGATTTTACTGTATCGAATATTAAATATTTTAATTTTTATTTTTTCAGGAGATGAAGAATATTCCAACGACTGGATATTCGTTGTTTCTATTTTCCATCTTCATCGCAATCCAAATGTATTCGAAAATCGAAATGTTTTCGATCCTAACAGATTTTTACCCGAAAATTTTTCCAAACGCTCACCTTACTCCTACATCCCATTTTCGGCAAGACCCAGGATGTGTCTGGGTGAGGCACTTCAGCATAATAGATGCTAAATTTATTAGATCTCAAGTTTAATTAAGATATACAATTATTTCTTACAGGGTATTACTTGACTATGATGAAAATTAAACTGATTTTGGCAAGTATTTTAAGAATGTTGAAGGTAGGATACGTGGAAAAAACGATTCCAATGAAGTTCAGAATTAGTCTTAATCCTAGTCGATCACTCCAACTCCAATTTAAATCAAGAAAACCGTAAATTTTTTCTATAAATGTATACTCATAACTTGTTACCGTTAAAAGCATTTTAATGTTTGGCATTTTATTCGAAATAACAGCGCTTTTGCTTTTTCTATGCAAAATTTCAGAAGTATTTGACAAAAGGCGCCGCAGGTAATCTTCAAAGCGAATAAACGTCTCTAAATTTTTTTTTCATTTTTCTATGTCTCAAGGTACACTGAATACGAAAATTTAAAAACTGTGTGAGGAAGGTCATTCCTGATCGACCGCCATTATATGTCTTGTTAAAAATCTATTGATTCCCTAATTGATATCTATAAATATTCAACTACTGATATATAAATGTTTTTGTTATCACCAATTTCTCTTCTAAGTGTTAAAAAGTTGGTGATAACAGAAAAATAATATCTAAATAGAAATATATGCTAGATATAGAATAATACTTATCGCTAAGTGATTAATACATACCCAGGATGTAGAAGTCGAAAACAGTTCACCTGCTACAAGACAACCTCCTACAAATGCCAGAGAAACAAATGTGAGAAAAAATTTGTAATCTGGATCCACGTTGACGAATATCGCAGCATATAAAAGGATGCGCCCTAGATGCATATAAAAACCATACACTACAGGTGTTAGCATTTCTAATTCTTCGTTCGTATTTTTTTGAAATTCCCGTATCTCTATATATTTTCTAAAATATTCTTCTTACTTTTTATTCAAATCTGTATTTGATCATTTCCTATCCGCTGCTTCTTTAGAAAGATTCTTTAGTCTGTTAATTATAATAAAAAGCAGACAGCAAACAATATAGCAAATTGATAAAATATGTGCTTCAACATAAATATATACAAATCTAATGCTGACAAAACAAACGAAAGCTTCGGTGTTTGATCCGTTTTGTTCTTTTTACTTCTGAGTATACAACAATTTACGAGAGAATTGAAATACATAAAAATACGCAGAATGAAACAATAAATAAAGCAATTTGCAGAATTTGCCACTTACCAATGACTCTACATTCTTCTACGTAGCTAGTTTTATAAAAATGCAGAGATGCAGAGAAGGGCAGTGTTTACTACTGCACCGTGTAATGCGTAATATTTTAAGTAACGAACAGTTTGTAAGCAAATAAAAGTCAGTAATTAATATCCAATAGATATAAACAATAACTAGTAACCACAACACCGCTTCGATGCAGTCACAATATATTTTGAACAGTGTGGAAAATTTTGATTTTTTATTCTTTACCCTTTGTCTGATACAATGGCATGGAACTACGAAATCGATTCTTAATAATTTTGCCGAGATCAAAATAGGATTTAAGATGACTCTAACACATCTCAATTGTTGCTCGGGATAATTCATCTTTGAACTATACGACGTCGATCTTAATTGGGATTTTGTTTCTGTTCGAAGCTCTGACGTTTTCTTCTGGGCAACTACATAAGAGAACGAAATATGTAAATTTAACACCATTAATAATAATGATTATCTTTAGCTGTAGGTCACGACAGAAGAGGAAGTAACAGTTATAAATGCAAATAATGCGAGATATAAATATGTAAAATATATACACACAAAGTTGTAAAACTAACATATATAACTGCATTAAATTTCGTAATAGCGTATGTAATTCAAAAATGTTATATAAAGTGACATGTAAATAATGTCTCTGAATAAAAGAGATTTTATTGTTCAGATTGAATGTAACTGTTGATCATAAAGTTCCAATCTATGGAATATACGGCTATTTTTGCAATAAATAAACAGACTATCGCGATATTGCATTTTTATTGCTAACGTGCGTGACTTCCGGGTAATGTCATAATCTGTAGTAATGAATATCGATAAAACTTTTGAATGTAATCTATTATTGTTCATAATTAATTTTATTAAATGTATATCTATATATATAAAATTGCTTGTCCTGACTGACTGACTGACTGACTCACTGATTTAGTCAGTCAGTCAGTGGTTTACTGATTCAGTCAGTCAGTCAGTCCAGTGATTTACCCAGAGCAAACCGCTGGACCTAAAGAGCAGAAATTTGGTACACAGTTAGGGTTCGTCATGAAAACGCACACTTAGAAGGGATTGTTAGAAATTCGCCCGCGGGGTGTGAGGAAGAGCATTAAGGCTTAACCGGAAAACGGCTTCTACTGTACTATTTTAAATGCGATTTTTTGTTTTTAACTACGTTTAGTCGTCATTGAGTACTTTGTATTAAATTGATAACATTTCAGACATTGTTATAAATATTTTTATCTATTTCAATTTTAAAAATGTTTGAACCATTTTAAATTCGAATTCGTTATTGCATATTGGTTCGATTATAGAACGATCGTAAATGCTTCAGAAAATTGATCAAATTGAAAATGGTTGGTTTGATTCTCGGCAATTTTCTTCAACGCTAGGTGTTATATAGACCTAACANCGAAGATAGGAAGTCGAAAGACCAGTTAATCTACCGACTCTACTTATAGTAAACAATTTTAACGCCTGGAATTTCCTGATTCGCAAAACGATTTAAAAGAGAAAAACGAATTAATGATAATTTAGTGTAAAAATAGATGAATATTAGTAAAAATAAAAATAGATTTAATGTCGTATAAATATGTAAACGGTTGTACTAACATGGCTATTTCTCTGGAATTTGATTATTCTTTTTCTTCTCTTTAATTTGTATAATGTTTCAGTCAGTCCTTCGAAGCATTGCTTTATGTTTCATATATTTAAAAGGCTCTGTAACTGATTACGATTAATTGTGTGTTGGATTGGTTGTGAAAACACGAGAAAGAAGTTATTGTACGGCGCCTGTGAGATAAAGCCAGTTACTTCTTTTTCTTTCGGCTTTTTAATATAACTTTTATGTATTTCATCTTATATGTTTTGAAACACCAACTGAAAACGGACTATTTTAAAGTCCGAAATGTATTTCGGGTCTATTTTATATAATTTATACGTATTAGTTTTAATTATTCTCAAATCTCTTTTTGAAAACGTAAATATATATATTAATTAAGAAGAAAAACCGAATAATTTCCCGTGGCAAACATTACATCACACCTATAATTGTCTGCGAGTGAGAGAAGGTTTTTGTCTTGAATCCCGCCTTTTCTCTGTAACTATCGTAAGTCTCCTTTCTAAAATAATACCGAGGTTGAGGCCGAAGTTTTAAACGCGAAAACCTGTACGTCGGACGTTCGGAGCCGCTTTCCTGAAAGCCTAGAAGTTTGACAATGGTATTTGGAATGTCGAGCATGATTCCACTGACTATCCAAATACCATTGTCAAACTTATAGGCTTACAGGAAAGCGGCTCCGAACGTCCGACGTACACGTTTTCGCGTTTAAAACTTCGGCCTCAACCTCGCTAATGTTATTCAGACAATACTTATGGTTGCTTATGTTATGTGATTAATGGATTTATTAGTATATCTTCGAATCTGGTGTAACCATATTCTGAGCAAGCAGCTATAACAAAAATTTCCGCCTACAGTAGAAAAGAATGTAAAAATAGTAATGTATTCGCACCGATTTGGCCCAATCCAATCACCCGACCACGATTGTTTTAAACGCCACAATATGGCGCCAGTAGTTCACTCGATATCCGCTAGGGGCTAAATTTTAAACTCGGGTGCCTTCCGTTCTTCCCTGACTCAATCATGTCCTTAGGTTTTTTAGTGCCTTGAAGTGTATTATTTATTCTCTTATAAGAAATAATTTGTAATAATAATGAGTTAAAAAACGTGTTTTTATAAATAAACGTTCTCGTGACTGACACTAATTTGATAACAGGTGGCATTATCGATGCGCTGACAGATTCGTGTTTAGCCACACGTAGAATCACGTGTTAGTTGTTTTCATATTCTCTGCTCTATCCTTAGAGGAAAAAATGTTGATTCTTTTAATTCGGGTTATTTTTACAATTTTTATTTTAATAACTTCTCAACCGGGATCGAGTAAGATAAATTTTTATTATAAAAAGAGTTTTGTAAACATTTTAATATATTTTAATGTGTTTATATTCGTTTATAGGTTTATTTTCGTGGCATCCCACTTGCATGATTCTTGCTGTAAGTTCATTTATTTTTATTATTATTTTTTTAAATAACTGAATGTAAGATGTAATATTTAAATAAATTTTAATATTCAAATTTTATTAATAGATAATTAGGATAATTATAATAATACACTTGGTGAAAGGCTTTAGCATTTATTATTGTAAAATCCTATTGCCTTTGCTGTACTTTGAAGTAAACATATATATGATTTGAGTGATTTGTGCTATATTCAGCTATTTACTATCTGCAACATCTGTATTTGTTTAATATATTTTACTTATATAACTACTGTAAGTAGCTTATGTAAACTAAGATAATTTTCAAAGTATACAAAAGAAACTTTAAGAAAAATCGCACCGTGTCTTTGAAGTAATTTTTATAATTTTTTTATGTATTTAAATACATAAAAATTTTTCATAACATAAAAAAGAATTTAATTTAATTCAGCCGTGTTTAATAAACAAAATAATTATCTGATTATAATCGAAAAATTTAGGCCTACTGAAAATTGCAAGAGATGAAAAATCTTATTATTTTAATGAACATGTTCGTTGTCCGCAGAAAAATATTTATGTAAGTATAAAATCTTTTCTTATTATATATAAAACAATACTAATATTAATTTTTAATTCAAAATAAATAATTACAGAATGCAATAACGATTTCGAAGCATTCCAATTTAAAACATTATGGAATTATTTATCGTCAATTAGGATTCAAAACATTACATTCACCAATTGTAGCAGTAATTGATATATGTTGAATCTGATTGATGTTATACGGGAGAATTAATCCCCTGCGGAGTGGCGAAAGCCGCCACCCGCATCCGCAATAATTGTCTATAATGTATACTGTATATTGAACTTGCCCTGGGGCTGTCCGGATATCCGACGGCAGCCCCGGAACATTCTGTGGTGGAAATAAGATCGGTTCGGGTCACTAGAAAGGTCTGTCCTAGACGGTCAACCCGACACCATCCCTCGACTTTGACCGGGAGATGCTGATGGAACTGTGAAACCTGCGCTCGTATTTTAGCCCGTTATTTCCTTTCTCTTGACATTTTAGAATGTTAACGATCGAACGCGATGTTTTCTGTTTATCAAACCTCTTTTTCCCGATTCAGTTTAACTTCGATCAATTCTATACGAACGTTAGTGTCAAAGTTCGAACTCTCCGGCTCGACACTGATGTATTGTTTAACACGTGTCTGAGTCGCACTAGGGACTCGCTTGTTTACTTTCTTGTCGCGTTATTTTCATTACGATTTCTTCAGTTCAATCTTTTGACATTTTTATAAAATTAATAACGAATTCAGACTTGGTCTGGAACCTCACAATAAAAAAAAATCTTTTACATCCAGAAGACCGACAACAGATTGATTTTACTACAGAAAAAATTCGTGGATTACAATTTACCAGTAATTTACATAATTATTTAATTAATATTAAGGAAAGGAATTCAAGTTATTAAGAGAAACATTTTGTATAATAACAACGGTTTATTTATAGGAAAAAGCTACTTCCTCTTATTATTTAAAAGTAAATATAATAAAATGTTCATAAATTAAATTTTCGTACTTTTCATATTAGCAAGATATTAATTAAATATTTTAAAAATATATCAAGAAGTCATAATTTTTAATTTAAAAAAAGAAAAAGTTTGCATCAATCTTCAGACGATTTTCATCGATCATTCACAAAAGGAATTGTCTCCACCGTATGTCGAACGGTATTATACGCGGGATTTGAATGGTATAATTTATTATTGGAGTTTAGACTTTAGAGAGAGGGAAAAAAGATAAGAGAAAAGAGATAAAAAAAAAAAAATAAAGAGAGAACGCGCCCAATAAATTCATAAATTTCAAAATCTCCGTGGTTCCCAAAGTGGGCGCTACCACCCCCTGTGGGCAGTAAGTAAATCTAGGAGGCGAGAGTTGCATAATAAAACCTTTCCCTTTCCTTTGTTAAAACAGGTACGAAGAAACATTGTGTTTAATGGTGTCCAGATGTGTAGAACAATGTACGGAAGTGTGAGGTTCATAGAAAGTTTTTCTAAGAATATTTTCAAGCCTTTCTCACAAGGAAAAATGAGTTAGGGGCGTTGGGTTTATGGAACCAAGGGGGGTGTTGGCTCGAAAATGTTTGGGAATCACTGCAATATCTACTGTCAGTAATCAGAGTAAACAAACGTCTTGAACAAGAACACCCACATGTGGTCAAGCGGAAGGAAATTGTGAGGCTCTAGACAGGTCCGAACCCTCACTAAAATTTGCGGAAAAAATTGTTTTAAAGAAAATAATATAGTAGTTAGAAATAGATTTTATTTTATGAAAACGCGACGCTAACTTTTAAACAATAGAAGAATGTAAGTCCGTCGACCATTTCCGGTTGGAGATCGAATTAAACTTCGATTTTGACCTCTCCCGCGCCCCCGAAAGGTTTCGAATTGTCATCAGGTGACGACGGGAGACCAATCGGAAAGGGGAATCTGAGAGAAAACAGATAAAACCCCGGAAATTCGAGGACGCGACGGCTTCTTCTCCCGAAAGTTCCAAGTGACGGATCTGTTGTTGTGTGTGTGTCTCGCACCCATCTTCGTCTCCATCTCCCGACCTCGGATCGACATCTTTCCATCAACGGAAGTCGACCGCATCGTCCCGGAGTCATCGAGACGTGATGGAATGGTTCATTCGCGAACAAGGGACACTCCTTCAAAATGGGACTATCTTGGAAAGGAGAGGAAGACCCAGAGGCCGCAGCCGCCGCAGAACTTCCAAGATCGCGGAAATCTTGTAAGCTTCTTTCGTGTTTAATAAACGGTTGTGTTGTTTGTAAACGACACATCAATCTCTGACTCAACTGCTTCCACATGTCGTTGATTGTTACCGCTCGGCAATCCAAACGGCAAGGGAGACGATGACGATTTATATCACATATTATTGTTCGTCGAGTTTAAATTTCTCCCCCCTCGGCCCCCACAAAATTGCCTTTGTTGGGGATACATCACTTTCTGGCATCAGTTAGATGAGACAAATAAATAAATAAATAAAACAATTGAATTACATCATCAATCATCAATCCTATTCACCTGTCCGATTTTCATTCGTTGGGATCATTAAAAAATCATTTAAATATTTAAAAGTTGACAACATGAAGTGTGGCGTGTAATTGTTTTGTCTGGTCACAACCAAAACCTTTTATACAGTTAGAATAATAAACTTGTGGAATGTTGACAGTGTGTAATTGCAGATAATGAAAATTACATTGTTGACAGAATAAATATAATTTAATAATATTTTAAAATTTGTCTTTGCTTTTCCCCCCTAAAAACGCAAAATTTTCATAATTCAATACTTTTATTTGCACCCACCTGTGGCAGAGCGGTTTTAACCACTGAGCACTGGATTTCTGCGTGAGGTTTTCTGGATTTTCTTCACGTGTTTAATACCTAAATAGGGGCCAGTTTCCCATAACTCACAGATTAATCTGTGTTATAACTTTTCCATTGAAAATTTTTCCGGGAAGCATTTCCCTTGGGAGAACTTTCAAATTTTTCCTACATTTAGCATTTTTATTAATTTTTTCATTAAAAATAGGCGTTAAGTTCAATTCTAACATGTGTCAGACATGTGTCAGGTGTGTGGATGGGAGATAATGGAGATTATCTCCATTATCTCCAAATCAGAGAGTCACTCGCTGATTTGGAGACATTAAAGTGTAATTGTGTTGTTATTGTTAGAAAGAAAGTGTGTACTGTGTTCTTTTAGACCGTGTAAACGGGAACATTTTACACCATCACAACATCATTTTTATACAACAACTAGCAGACCCCGCTACGCGTTGTTGTGGCTCAAAATGTATCTATTATAAATTTATAACACTTCCCCCGTGGAGGGGAATTTTTCGAAAAATTTCTTCTTAGTGTACATTCTCTTGACGTACCCTATTAAAACGCAATCAAAAACGCAAAAACCCACATGTAAAATAGTATAAATAGAAGCAGAGTTCTTTACGGTAAGCCTTAATCCCGTCCATCTCCCGGGGGGGGGGTTTCGACATGTATATTATATAAAAACACGTGCGTATTCGAATGCAGCGTTGTGTCAAAATTTCAAAGGAATCGGTAGGAACAAACGAACATTACATTTTTATTTATATAAATAGATAGAAGATGATCCGCTTTAGTTCATTTTCACAGAAAAGCGTAATGCCTCACAGAAAAGCAAACGTAGGGCGTCGTACTCGTAGCGCCATCTGTTGGACATAAAAGCCTTAACCCTAGATAATATAATTTAATTTATATGAACGTTTAACGGAATAACATACAGCCTATGTCCACCCTGAAGTTCCGTTCTAAATATTGGTGAAAGAATTTTTGAAATCGGATGAGTAGTTTCGGAGATTACACGCTGCAAACAAACTTACATACAAACATTACCTCTTTATAATATTAGTATAGATAGGGGATGCGGGTTCCCTGGACTCCTCCCTGGTTAAGCCAGTGCACACGGGCTTATGCCTATCAATTCATATAGGCTACTTTTCCATAGAAAGCTATGGTTTACCATGAACTATTTTAAATTCTAAGTTAAACTAAATTTGCAAATGTTTAAACGTACTTATAACTTTTTAAAAATTTTATCTCATAATAAATGGGCATTCTAATGAAAATAAACAAAATTCACAAATACTTTCTATTAATCGTATACGGTACATTTGATTAAGTTCATATTATAGTGTGAGAACCGAGGGGGTTAGTTGTCCCCACTTACCGGCGGCTCTGTCAGAGGATGGCTTTATAGGAGGGCAAAATAAAATGAGTGGGGAGGTTAATGGGTAAGTTGACAGGTTCCCAAATGAATACACAGGTTGAACAAGAATAACACATTTAATAAACAGCTATAAAATTGTACATATCAAAAGCTAAGGTGAATATCTACAAAAATTTTATTCTACGTCGCCACAATGATTTGTCTTTCATATGAAACATCTAATCTCTATTCTCTAAGTTAAGAGACGAGAGAGAGACTTCGCAGAGAGACAGTATACAAATAGATATCCAAAAAAAATCTCTAAGTTCCCGATCCGTAATATGGGTCGTTGGTAAAAACGTTCCTGGATCGTCACGGCAGTTATGGCGAGTTAGCGACGGATAGGGTGACGGTATGGGTTAGTAGATGTGTCAGTCGATGTCCGCCCTGGAGGTGTCCGCCTTGTGGACTACGTCCAAGCCCTCTTTATACTATTTTTGAGGGGGTGAGAACTATGACATCATTAATGATTTATACGCACACCTGTTCGTGTGTTGATGTCTAGAAACTAGCTTGTACGGACAACCGACACAGAGAGGTTTGTTTAATTTATTGATATCAGTGTCTAGAAGATATGATTTTATAATATAAATTTCTATAGGTTTGACGGCTCTCATCCATAAATTAACATTCATCTGACAATAATTTCTTTAACCTGGTCAACTATCTAGATGTCTATATCAAACGTCGCGTTTGACTACGAACGAGGCGATTTATTGCTGTAACCACGTGTCACGTGCAACCAAAGAGGGGTAAAAAAAACATCTCTTAATTCCCGTCTTGTTGATATTAACGTCTATAGAATTACCTTTAAACAAATGGAGGAGATTTCTTTTATTGATATACTAACGATTTTTTTTGAGGAGATCGTCTCGGTCATCGACCGCAGAAGTCCCCCTTTTTCCCTTTTTACCCAATCACGAAGTTTATTATAAAAGTGATACAGTTCTAAAACAAAAGGGTTTTGGACCGTCACATGACTCTCCTCTTTCTTAAAAACCACACTGTTCCTTTTCAAAGTGTAGTGTGTGTTTTTCCTTTTTTCTTTCCCTTTTGGACTGGATTTCGGTCAACTGCCGGGTTAATTGTTATTATTGAGATCATTCATTTGACGGAATTGCTTGATTCCGTTGAAGTTAGCAATGCGAGAAATTAGAGAGGTTGAGGCGCACGTTTTAAACGTGTAAACGTGTACGTGTGACGTTCGGCGCCGCTTTCCCGTAAGCCTAAAAGTTTGACGATGGTGTTTGGAATGTCGAGCGTGATTCCACCGACTATCCAAACACCATTGTCAAACTTTTAGGCTTACGGGAAAGCGGCGCCGAACGTCACACGTACACGTTTACACGTTTAAAACGTGCGCCTCAACCTCTCTATTGTATGGGAATAATTCAGCAATAAAACTTATCTGTCTATTTCTTTTGTTGTAAGATGTAAAGAACTGGTAAAACCGAACATTCAGAGTGTAGACCCCATTTGTGAATTATGGTCGTACAATGTTATTTAATTTACTCTCTCTCTCTCTCTTTCTTGAAAATCTCGCGTTTGCGCTCGCGTCGCGTCACAAAGAAAAAAAGGTGGTCGACTTACGCGTACAACATTGAGAAGTCGACATCTTTAAAAATATAGTTCATGATAATATTTCAAAGTGAGCTATAATAGTTCAAAGGTTACAACCGGTAGAAAAAAATTTTCTTACTGCGTCAGCTGGGTTGAGGTGGAGTAACCGGTGATTTGTTGTCACTGCGTAAGTTCAAAGTCCGTTAGCTGGATTGCAGGTCGGATCGTCTCTAGTTGTCTTCGTAATGGCACTAAAAACTGTCCAATTTCTTCGGATAATGTCGATGTAGACCCTTCCATTTTAATTTTTTCGTCACGGGCTTTATTTCGAGTTGAATACGGGCTGGCTCGAACTGAGGTAAGTAGGTGAAGGTCACGAGATAGTAGATTGTATGAGATTAGTCACATTGACGCTTCTAACTATAGTGTTAATTTTCACAATTTAAAATTAGTGCTGTTCAACTAATTGTTAAGTTAATTTGTACTTTTCAAAATAAGCACAACTCATACTAAAAGTTTAAAGTAATACAGTTCACACTAGACAAGTAAATAACTTCATTATGTCTCTTACTTTTTCTTTTCCGATATCTCCAGGGAACGAGGTATACAAATTAATTAAAAGGCTATACTCTCTCTCTCTCCTTTTATTATCTAATATAAACTTAAAATCCTATATTCCGACAAATATATATTCTAAAGATAATTCTACCTTAATTTTACCTCTATATCCGAAATGACCGTTCTACATATAGGCTAAGGTTTATAGTCAGTAGTCAGTATACCGCTTCTTAGCTCTTATACCTCTTTACTAAACTAATTAATTCCGACTTTGCTAAATCTCGATTGGAATTTTATATGATCGATGAATTTTAACATTTCTGACAAAAGATCAGATTGGGGTTCAGTATTGCATTTCATCTCACGATAGTTATATTCTCGGAGT